CAGCAGGCCCGGGCCCCGGCCTTGCGGAGCGACTCGGGATGGTGGCGCCCTCACCTCGGGCCCCGGGCCCCCCGCCAGCCCCGGGAGCAGGCGCCCGGAGCAGCCCCGGCACCGCCGTCCCGCAGCCCGCAGGAGGCCTTGGCCTAGGCCTCGGCTCAGGAGCCGGTACATGCTCCCGCCGCGTCCTCTGCGCACTGCAGGCCCGGCGCTATCCCGGGACGTCCCGCCCCACGCGCTGAGAGCTCGCCGGATTGGTCGAGCTGTGACGACAGAGACGTCATCGTTTGCATCCGCATGCGCGATGATGCACGCCTTACGTCACTCCGTCTCGCCCCGCCCCCGGCTGGTGGCGGGAATACTCTGCCGGCGGATGGGGCACGGGGGAGTCTTGCGGCGGTCGCTGCCACTGAGGTGGTCATGTTGGATTGCGCCATGGCCGTCGCGTTGCCGGCGGTCGTGGAAGAGCTCCTGAGCGAGATGGCCGCGGCAGTGCAGGAGAGCGCGCGAAGTACGGGACGGAGGTGGTGTGTGGTGGCGTAGTGGGCCGTGGGCCTGCCACCGGGCCCCGCCGGGGAGAGGAGGCTGGAGGCGAGACATCTGGGCCTGCGGGGATTTAGTCCCGAGCTCCAGTCCTGCGCGCCTCGCCGCTGCCTGTCCGGGCCTTTTTTCTTTGTGGTTGTATTTCTCAACCCCATACTCGTTTAGAGGGGAAGAAAAGCGAAATGTGGGCAAATAAAAACCTAATATATTCAGGAAATGTGTAGAGAACAGTGCAGTTGTAGGAGCCCCACCCGCGGAGCGAGCAAGCCTGTGGGGACCGAAGTGCTGAGAGCCCGGCTCTGGGTACATGTGAGAAGAGCCCCGGAGGAAGGTGGGGAGCTCGAAGGAAGAAGCCTACGGTGGTTTATAGAAAAGTGGATTTTTGAATTATTTCACTCAAAATTATGAACTATGAGACTTGTCTTTTTCCTCAAATTCTGGTGTTAACTTTAAAATTAATACATTGGTCCGGTTCAGAAAATATTTTAGGGCCACAAAAATGCCACATGCAGTTACTGGAGTAAATCTGGATGTTATACAAGTATCTTTTTTTTTCTCTGACCAGCAGAGGATGCTCAGTGACTGCTCACCAGAACCACTGAGGGGGATGATCTCAAGATGTATTCCCAGCATACTAGTATAAGAGGATACTTCTAATCAGAACTCACTGATTAATTAGAACTACTTTTCTCATGTAAAAATGGCTACCTTATAAATAAGTCAAAATTGCCACCGCTTATTCATTTGGATGGCGTTTTTTAAGTACTGTACTGCACTTTGAGTTTGTCTTGGGTTACTGTTTTAAAGAACTGAGAAAAGTAAGCTACCTTTTTTTCTTCCTTTAAGTCAAAACTAACAAAGACTTAAGTATATGTGCTTAAAAGATTAGGCCAGCCAGCTGTTCAAACCTACTTGATTCCAGAAAGGGTAGGGAAAAAGCCAAGTGGTGTCTTGTTCTGGGGCCCTGAGATTTGATGGCCTGGGGGTTTGGAATCCTATCACTCTACTCGAGCATTGCCAGTGTCAGGGTGGATTAATTCATACACTGACAGGCTTGAAGAGGCATAATAGGTGTTGGACCCATGCTGTTGATTCATGTTTATTTTCAACAGAACTCTTTTCTGTTTCTTCAGAATCTTTTAGATCGTCATACACCCTTCGTAAACCCCATTATCCAGTGGTTTTTTTAGGGGGAGACCAAGATTCCAGGTTTACATTTGTATGGTGATGCATAAACTAGTCACAGTGGAACCATGTAGGAAGCTGTGATTACTTTTCCTTCCCTTTGTAACCTTTTGGTTTTCATGTAGTTATAACTGCTTGGTCTTGTTTGTTTGCCTAAGTAATTTCCTGTGTGTTTATCCCTAATTCAACCTCACACTCTAACAGTGTTCTAAATCTTCACTCGAGATCTTCAGATGAATGAGGTGTTGTATCAATTTTATTTTTCTGAAGAAATCGCTCCTACAACCTTCTGACTTGCCTAGTATGGACTGACTGATCTCTCAGCTGTTTCCTGAGATCTCCTGTCACCATTATTATCTGAAAATTCTCTTTACCTATTTTGGGTCTTATGCTTAGCATATCCTACAATTTTCTTTTTCTTAGTTTACTACCTTTTTTTGTGAAGCCTACAAACTCTTGTAGTTTCCTGAAGAAGGGGAGCATAAGATGTACTTTTTGAGGGTTTCCATGTTTGAAAAAGTTCCTTTTCTACCCTCATACCTAATTAATAGTTTTCTAGGTATTGAATTATATGTTGGAAATGATATTTCTTCAGACATCTGAACACATTATTCCACTACCTCCTATCTTCTAATGTTACTCCTGATTTCTGTTATATCCTTTGGAAGTTTGGATCATATTATCTTTATAACCAATGTTCTGAATCATCTGGTAAAGTTTGCTTATTTACTCTACTGTATGGGTGGGCCCTTTCAAGCTAGAAATTCATGTCCTCCTATTTTGGGAAATTTTGAGTTTTTGATTGATGAGTTTCCTCCATCAGTTTTCTCTGTTCTTTCTGGTATTTGTCTTAAGTTATTGAATGTTCAATATTATTGTTCTTCTGATTGACTAACAAGAACAATAATATTGAACTACTTTTTATTTTCTCTACTTTCTGAGAACTTTCTTCAACTTTATCTTGCAGATTTTCTGTTGAGTTCTTCCCTTTTTTTTTTTCCTTAGAGACAGGGTCTCACTAGGTTACCCAGGCTGGCCTCCAGCTCCTGGGTTCAAGCGACCCTCCTGCCTCCCAAGTAGTTGGTACTACAAGCATACACCACATGTTTTTAATTTATAACTTTTTCCCTGAAGATTTCTATTATTATATCTTATGCTTGTTTTATGATTGCATTGACTTACTTTTTGTCTGTTTGAAATTTTCTTCTCTCCGCAGTTTTTTTCTTTAATAAGTATTCTTATGTTTTGCTCTCTTTCTTCTTTGTTGTCTGGTCCTAGTCATGTTTAAGAGTGAAAGACTAAAAAATGTATTGGAAGCTCTGAGTCTTAGAGGGGCTTATGGGCTATGAACATCACTATTGTTCTCAGTAGGCTATTTAGTTGGAGAAACCATTTCAGTGGCATTCCCACTTCCCTTGAGAAGACCCCAGGAAAGACTTCTAGTCTTGCCTAGAGGGTGAAGGCCTTAGTGCTGTTACAGGAGCCTTGTTGGGGTAGAGAGCAGGAGATCCCTGTTTTCAATGTAACACTCTTACCTCCTTTATGCCTAGTATTTTCCTCCAGTCCAGATAACCTATGTTTAAACCTCTTCAGAAAATAAACCTAGTTTTTTGCCAGCGTGAGGGGCAGGCAGTCACCTAAAGCTATGGAGGAGGACTGGGTTCCTAGTACCTTTTTTTTTTTTTTTTGAGTTGGAGTCACTCTGTTGCGTAGGCAGAGTATAGTGGCATACGTAGGCAGAGTGCAGTGGCCACCGTAACCTCAACCTGCTGCGATCCTTCCACCTCAGCCTTCCAAGTAGCTGGAACCCTAGTACTTCTTAAACTTACTTTCAAAGAGTCTTAATTTAGTATTCTTGCTTCATCCCCACCTCCAGAACTATCTAATGTCACCAGTATCTGAGGGGGTGTTTTTGTGAGTAGGGAGAGGTAGTGGATTCTGGAGTATAAATCAGGCTGGTGCTTGACTCTCCCTGCTGCTAGCTTAGAATTCCATTTTCTTGGGTATTGTAAATTATTTTATTCTAGTCTTCTGCTTCCAACGTATCTTAGCTATTGTTTTTCCCTGTCTTTCTCATCCTTTGGAGTTTATGCTTAAAAAAAATGCTTTTATTATTGTTTTAGTGGAGTTTATTACTGTTTTAGTGGAGGAATAAACTTAGATGTGTAGGTTCAATTCACCATTATACACAGAAGTCTTTTTGGTTATAGTCTTTTTAAAGATTTTTTTATGCCTGCGGTCACTAGTTTAACATGCTTAACTTTTTATCCATTCCCATTTTACAGTTCCTGATGAGCATCTATTATCGTAAGTACATATCCTATTGTGTTTGATTTTTTTTTAACCGTTAATGTGTTTTAAGGGCTAAATTCTTTCAACATCATCTCTTGGTTTTTAAAAATGTTGTTACTAAACTAGGAACAATATATTCTTGACATGATTGACAAAAATCTGTCTCAAATGTATAGCCAACACTAGTGGACAGTACAAGGCATTCTAGTACTATCCTATTTGCCACTCTTATTTAACAGTGTTCTAGTAATTATAGCTGTTACCTAAACACAGGAAAAAGAAGTTAGAAGTATACCTACCAGCAAGGAAAGGCAATTATCATTTGCAGATGATATAACTAATAAAATGAGAATAACACAAAGTGGCCAGTTATTTAAAATGCAGAAATCAAACATCATTTTCCTTTCTACCACAAAGTTCAAAAATATAATTATATTCTCAATAACATCAAAAAAATGAAAGCTACCTAGGAATAAGTGACACTTAATTGCATGTATACACTTATATGTTTATCTTAAGTGGAAGGAAGAAGGTGAAATTTAAGGAAGCTTTAACCTTTTCTTCTGTTTCTTAAATTGTGTATAAGATTTTATATGTTACTGGGGAAAAATAAATCACTACTTTAAAAACAAAGAAAATGGATAAATAATAAAAGAATGCAATTAGCCAAAAACTTTGGGGAAAAGATAAATCTTACTAGTGACTGGCAACCACAGAAAAGAAGTTGGCAAGACTATGGGAAAGGGATAATTTATTTCCTGCTGGTAGGAATTTAAATTGGAGGGTAATCTGGCAACAGGAGCTTTAAAACATACACATCCTTTAACCTAGAAATTCCACTTACAAGAATGTATCTCAAGGAAGTAATCATAGATGTTCATAGAAGCTTTATAGTGAGCATATTCATTCAGTATTGTTTATGGTAGCAGTAAAACAGACCTTGAAACAACCTAATTGTCCATAGAGTTTGAGGAGAATAAAAATGAGTCATCTTTATAGTAGAATTATTTGTAGCCATTAAAAGTGATAATGCATTCAAGAGATGTTCATGATGGATCATAAAGTGAACAGAGCAGGTTAAAAAAAAATTGATAAAAGGTAACTGATTATCTCTGAAAAGATTCTCACCAAATTTTATTTATTTTTCTTTGTAGACTAAGTCTTCCTATATTTAATATAAAAAATTCAAAAGCACTCTTTCCTATTCTCCCAATAGTTTGCTGTATATGAAACTAGCTTGTTGGAAATTTTTAATTTTAAAGCCTTAATAGTTATATCTTCCTATCCTGTGTCAAGTTGTATGAGTTCTTTAACATGTTAATTTTTCCACTTTAGTTCAAGCTAGCCATTTTATTTTTCCTTTTTTTTTGAGTCGGAGTCTCACTCTGTCGCCCAGACTGGAGTGCAGTGGCCGCTCCCGGCCACCGCAGCCTCGGCCTGCTGTGCTCCGGTGATCCTTCCGCCTCAGCCTTCCAAGTAGCTGGAACTACAGGCGCGCGCTGTCACACCCGGCTAATTTTTTGATTTATTGTAGAGATGAAGTCTCACCAAGTTGCCCAGGTGGATCTCGGACCTGCGGGCTCAGGCAATCCACTCATCTCAGCCTCCCAAGGTGCAGGATTACAGTCTGAGCCACCGAGCCCAGCTTGCCATTTATTTTTCAGTTTATAAAAATAACCCATATGTGTAAAAAAACTTTTTTTGGTAAATAAAGAAAACATAACAAACATCAGCAATCATGCCACCCAGTAAATATCACTTACACTTTGGTGTATTGCTTTTGTTTAATTTTGACATAATTGTCTATTTCCTTAAGAAAAAAACATTACCATGATTGAGAGTTTCTAAATATATAATTTTGTCCCCAGCCTTACTCACTTAACGTTATAAGAATTTTCTCACATATCAGTTTTTTCTTGTATATCACTTAACAGCTGTATATTCTTAGTACTAATCCAAAAAGTACAAACTTAGTATCAGATGGTCAGATGTGAAAAAGTTTGATAATACTGGTATTAGTAAGGGCATGGAGAAAATAGAACTCATACAGTGCTGGTGGGAATGCTCTTTCCATTTTAGAAAGCTATTGGCAACACCTATTAAAGCTGAAAAATGCACATATCCTTTAGTTACATAACCAGGAAGAATTTTCAGATATATGAACTAAGGGACACGTACGGGTGAGTACTGTTTATAATCATTTAAAATTGAAACCACTGTAATGCCCATTGATAGGGTACTTAACAAATAAAATGTATTATGTACATATAGTGGAATATTATTTAGAAGTTAAAAGACAAGAAATGTATATATCAACATGCATCATTTTCAAAAATGCTCTAAGTAGAAAAGTACAGATTGCCAAAAGAAGCCTGCAATATACTTTTTATGTTCTAAAACTTATAAAACAATGTCAAATGTATATATATGCATCTGCATCTGTATATGTTCTATGTATAATAAAATATAAAAACATTAACAGAAGGGAAACCAACAAATGCATATGGTTGCCTCTGGGGTGAAGGGAAAGTAGGAAGAAGTATAGGAAGCACTACAAAGAAGTATAAAGATGACTTCCTTATTTGTAATAGTTTACTCCTTTTATATTAAAAAATCCAAGATGATCAGAAATACATGAACAAGATGTTAACATTTATTAATTCTAGGGAGTGAGAGAATCTTGCTGTATTATTTATTTTCTTTTTTCCAAATTAAAATTAATTTTTTAATGCTTAGGTTAGTGATCCTTTGAGTCAAGCTACTGAAGTGACTTTGAGAATCAGGGCTTTTCACCTGAGGCCTTTTTATTTCCCAGGCTTAAGTTTGTCTTTGGCTCATCGGCTGTCCAGGCCTTGGACCTAGTTGATCGACAGTCCATCACCTTAATCTCATCACCCAGTGGAAGGCGTGTTTACCAGGTAGAAGTCTAGAGATAGGGATGATTGCAACAGAAATCCTTCAGGGCAAAATGTTTTCATGAATCTCTGTGGAAGTGGTGACCAGCTTTAAATATTTCCTGGAATTTTGAAAATCATTTGACCCACCTTAGTAAAATTACCATATTATTAATTTTAAAATTTTATTTATTTTTAATTGACAAAATTGTTTACACAAGAGGGGAACCCAAAAAACTCACAATTATCTTTTGGAGGGAGGGCCCCTTGCAATATAGACTTCTCTCCCTAGATAAGTGTTCTAGGAACTCACTGGCATCAGTGTACCAGTTAGCATTGTTTGAGAGGCTCCATTCAGCTTCAGTGAGTTTTTTTTTTTTTTTTTGGAGATTCTTTCAATACATTTGCCCATTTCATGATGGGTGATTTACAAGTGCACCTGCCCATACCACTGCTGAGTGTTCAGCAGTTTTTAACCAAAAACAGCATGATCCCAGTGCCCCACCCTTCCTATTCACTTGATCTTGCCTTAAGCGACTTTCTTTTGTTTCCCTGGATGAAAAAAGTTCTCAAAGGGAAACGTTTTGCTGATGTGGAAGAGGTGAAACAAAAAAATGGCAGAAGCACTAAAAGGTATCAAAAGTTGAGTTCAAAAAACTGTTTTTGAGTAGTGGAAAACACATCTTGATAGGTGTATTGCATCAAATGGAGAGTGCTTTGAAGGTGACGGAAGTTTAAAAATGTAAGAATAAATACACAATTTTTTATAAATAAAATCCTGGGGTTTTTGGGTCCCCTCTCATATTCATGGCATATAACTTTATGTTCTGATATATGTATACCGTATGGAATTACTCAATCAAGCTAATTAACATCCATTACCTCACATACTTTTTTTGTGGTGAGAACACTTAAAACCCATTTTTTTTTTTAGGTAGTTTTCAAGTATACATTATTATTAACTATAGTCAGCACACTGTACAATAGTTATCCTGAACTTATTTCTCCTGTCTAACTAAAATTTTGTACCCTTTGACCAACATCTCCCCATCCTCTTCCTTTACCTCAGGCCCCTAGCTAACCACCATTCTTTCTACTTCTATGAGTTCAACATTTTTAGAATACACATACGACAACATGTGGTATTTGTCTTTCCATGCTTGGCTTATTTCAGTTAACATAATGTCCTCCAGACATCTGAGCAATTAAATTGAGATAAATATGACCAGCAATGATGTGGAGAGGCTTTTTTCTCAGGTCTAATGGAGTATAGTCAACTTTTGCTTTCCTGTTGTTTGATAATAGAGGTATTCCCTTAAACTTATTGACATGTTCATCTTGTTTATTATCTCTTGCTTATTAGCAATAGCCAAAATGTATTTTAAGATTTGTACATGTTTAGATTCATCTGTCAGAAATGGTCTCTGAAAACTATTGTCAAGAAGTATTTGTTAAGGGTCAGACTGTGCTGAATGCAGGCGGTCCTACTTTGTTTTGCCCTCTTGGAGCTTATGATAGGGATAGGTAGATTAGTAAAGTTAACAGCCTCTTATCAGACCCTGAATGACTTTCATGTGTTTCTGATAATGCTCATCAAAACCCAGGAAGGTATTTGGAAACTGAAATGCAGAAAAGTAAAGCAACAGTCACATCTGGCTACCTAGGTACTGCCTGTCTTAAAAGATTTAAATAAAGACTTTGTAAACAGTAGGCCAATCTCCAACCTTCTGACCTTGCTCCCCTCCCCTCCCACAGGGAAACTGGGACTGAGGGAAAGAAATCTTATTAATAAGATGAATATATTGGCAGTCGTGTCCACAATTTTGTATCTGGCTTGGAAGGGGTAAAATCCGTTCTTGTCTGTAATCCTGGCTTTACTAAAGACCAGGAAGGGAGAAATTTTTTAGAGTTTGAATTCTGGTTTGTTTGGTTTTTTTTTTTGAGTTGGAGTCTCACTCTGTCACCCAGACTGGAGTGCAGTGGCCGCTCCCGGCCACCGCAGCCTCGACCTGCTGGGATCTAGCGATCCTTCTGCCTCAGCCTTTCAAGTAGCTGGAATTACAGGCACGCACTACCACACCTGGCTAATTTTTTTATTTTATTGTAGAGATGAGGTCTCGCCTGCCCAGGCGGGTCTCGAATCCACTCACCTCAGCCTCCCAAAGGCGCGGGATTACAGGCTGAGCCACCGAGCCCAGCTTGAATTCTGGTTTGTTTACAATGAACTTCTCAAAGCTGAGACCATGTCAGTTAACTCCCATTGAGAAACCATGTCAGTTCATTCTTAGGAAGTGAATGACTTGAGCAAAGCCTGCTTGGGCAAGTAGGTGCCTTTGCTTAGTGAACTAACTTGCCATTATACATGGTAGCATAACTTAATTGACCTGGCAAAAAGTAGTGTTGGATGCTGTAGTTAAAACTCTTACATGGTACTTTCTACTCAAAAGAGACTGTCTCTTAGAAGAATTTTCTCATAGTGAACTTATAGATTAATAATCAGAGTCACTGAACTTACTGTTTTTGCCTTAGATGTTTCTATCTTTTTTCCTGGCATTTTTACTTTTGGTTTTTATGTAGCTAAAATACTCAAAACTAGAGGGGTCTTCATGTTTTTCCCATTTTGGGATTTTTGGTCTCAGTTCCTTTATCAGTACATCACTTGACCTGGACAAGCAGACTTCTAACTGTTCTCTAGCTCTGTGATCTAATTATTAGTTAGAATCTTAAAAATTTTGTTCGAAGTGTTTTAATTATTGTTGACTTTTTGTTCCTCCCCGTGGTCAAACAATGAGTTGTTTAAGTGACTTGTTTAGTTTTTGTCATTCACATCCTGTATTATGTTACATTGCTTTATTAGTCATAAAAAGCTAACTTCTTAGAATTGTGGCCGTCTTCTTGGACTTTAAATTAAATGAAGCTCTAGAAGTCTTATATATCCTTAAATTAACCTTAATGATTATATTGTATATGTATATATAGCAAGAATTTTGCTGAATTCAGGGATTGTATGAGATAACAGTTGAGTCCGACACTTACTTGATGCCCAGCTAGTTATCTTTGCATATGTCAATCTTTGTCCACAGGTCAACCCTAATATTTTTATTGTCCTCCTGGTATAATAATTCTAAAGTCGCCATTTTGTTGCTGTCACCTGAGTTGCTTTTATAAACTTTTTTTGGTTCACTTAGGAAGGGGATGCTTCTGTCAGGAGAGGCTAAGTTATGCTGTGGTAACAATGACCCCAAATCTGAAAAGCTTACAAAAACAAAGTTTTATAACTCATTCATGGTACATCTCCATTTTGAGTCAACTGCAGCTCTGCTCCAAAACATCTTCTCTCAGGAATCCCAGTTAGTGAAGCAGGAGCTATCTGGAAAACTGTGGATCTCACAGCAAAGAAAAAAGAGGACAAGATACATGACAATTTTCAATATTTTCTGCTTGTCTATTCACATTTTACTAAAGCAGATCATATGGCCAGCCTGTATTTAATAGGACAGGAATGTATATCCTTTTTTTCAGAGAGGCACCAAAGACAGAGAACAATAAATAATAAAGTTTACCATTGTGAAGTGTCCTAAGAAGCTTGGAGTGGTTATAAAGTAACCACAACTGGATGACCATCTTAGGTGGGTCACCCTGCTTGTAACCAAAGTGAAACCACAGTAGACTTCCTCCAAGTGAAGTTCCTACAAGTCCAGTCATGGTCTGAGTATCCTCTTTCTTGTGTTTTTCTTTTTTTAAAAGCTCTCTCCTTCTGGGGATAAACATTCCAGACTGAGTGGAAGAACTAGGAACAGTTCCTGTAAGAGGAGGTTATTTTTTCATTTAAAGATGAAGGAATTGAATTAGATTATCCCTAAGGTCTATTTCCAGTTCTAAACATTTCTAACTCAGCTTTTGCCTGATTGTTGGGTTCATTAGTTGTCCACTGCTAGATAAGGGAGACACAAAGTCAAAATTTATTCTCTTTATGGTATCTACTGCCTCAGGCAGTTGAACATTTTACTTGGGAGTCTTAGCATTTGAAAGTATCAGGCTAGGGAACCTCTGTAGAATTTCTTTGCATCCCTGAGTCACCAGCCATTTACTCAACATTGTCCAGGGAGCATCATGATGGATTAGGGACCCACAGTAAGAAGGAAGCAGTAAGCCAGGCTCGGTGGCTCAGCCTGTAATCCTGCGCCTTTTGGAGGCTGAGGTTAGTGGATTGCCTGAGCCCACGGGTTCGTGACCCACCTGGGCAACTTGGCGAGACATCTCTACAATAAATCAAAATGAGCCGGACGTGGTAGTGCGCGCCTGTACTTGCAGCTACTCAGAAGGCTGAGGCGGAAGGATCACCGGAGCCCAGCAGGTCGAGGCTGTGGTGGCCGGGAGCGGCCACTGCACTCCAGTCTGGGTGACAGAGTGAGACTCCAACTCAAAAAAAAAGAAGGAAGCAGTGAACAAGTCAGGATAGGTTCCCAAAGGATTATGCCTGTTTAAGTTTAAAACTAGAGAGAAGAGACACAGGAGATAACTGAAGGGAGAAGAAATCTAAAGTTTTCTTCATTGGTAATGTTTGGAGGCCCAAGAAGTATTCATGTCACTGCTGAATATTGTAGGTTTTCTTTAGGATTCAGTGGAAAACAGTCTGTTTTAATGCTCTCTGCTCAGTTTAAGTTTTCCAGACATGCTAGGGAAATTTCTCCATTGATACTCAATGATGTAGGTTATATATGGCCTTGCAATAGGAAATATGTAAGATATAGTTTTTCAATACCTAATTTGTAACTGGGGCTGAAATCTTTAATGGGTATAGTAGGCATCTTCTTACCCAGTCATAGGCCATTTCTAGTAATCTAACAACCCCCAGGGAATTCTGACTAGGCCAAAAAACCATACTAAGATTGTTGTATTATGTGAACATAATACATGAAACAAAAGCACAGCATTTGAATCTGCTGTTTCTTCTTTATTTAAAGTCTCACTTGTAGCTTTATTCTCTGTGTAGAAGAGAAAAAGGAAAGAATTCCAAGAGTGCTAATATTGTAATTCCAAAAAAAATTTTAAGTCCTGACTTCTTCATTTAGATTGCCATCTTAGAACCTAACTGGCAGTTCATTATAAAATAACCCTCCAAATATGTCCACTTTCCTTGAGTGCTAATAATAATCTTATGCTTGGTGGTAAATGAGTGATTTTTGCCAACCAATTTGTCCAGTCACACCATAGATGTGTCTTACTTTCCCTGGACCTCTCCTTTTTGGCCCTTTTGACTGCCATCAAGGCTGATTGTTCTTAGACTGGGCCCTTTTATCCCCACATATCTATGTCCTCCTTCCATCCTGCTAGTAGCTGAGTAGGCAGATCTGGGCTTGCCTTTCTTCCTGAGACCTCTACCCTGAACAGCTGAGTCATCTTTTTTGCAAGGTTCTTTGTTTTACTTATTCTCCCTATTCTCAAATGCTTTCTTTTTTTTCTTTTTTTTCAAGTTGGAGTCTCACTCTGTCACCTAGGCTGGAGTGCAGTGGCACATTCACAGCCAACCCAGAGTTGACCTGCTGGGCTCCGCGATCCTTCCGCCTCAGCCTTCCAAGTAGCCGGAACTACAGGCGCACGCCACTATACCTGGCTAATTTGTATTATTATTATTTATTATAGAGATGAGATCTTTCCAAGTTGCCTGGGCTGGTCTCAAACCCACAGGATCAGGCAATCCACTTCCCTCGGCCTCCCAAAGTGCTGGGATTACAGGCTGAGCCACCGAGCCCAGCCTCAAATGCTTTTCAAAAGCCTTTTCCCACTTTGTTCCGGGACCTATCTTACTCCTGTCCCACCACTCACCCTCAGACTGTTTTTACACTCTTTAGGTATGTGGTAGAAGCTTTAGAAATTTACACACATGCTGTGACTACCAAAGGTTAAGAAACTCCACAATAATGAGAGCAGCTTTCCCCTTCACCTCTTATTATAGTCAGTTCATGAAGTAGGCCCCATAAATTACTAGGCATAGAAACAAAATTATTTGTGTGGATGGTTGAACTAGCCTGAAATTATTCAGTTCCATTGTATGAAGTCCTAAAGAGCACTAAGAGATAAGGAAGAGTCTGCACATTGGAGGGAAGAGAAGTTGAGTTTCCCCTTTTGTATAAAACATTACTGTAGTTCCCAGTGCAATTTGCAAAACAACTCTGAATCATTAAATAGATAAAAAGGCAAAGAAGCGTTCTTTACTGACACATATCCTGAGGTATGATTCCATCTGTCCTTTTCTTCCTAGGTACTTGGAAGTTCTGGTAAAACATACACATGTTTAGCGTCTTGTCATTACTGTTCATGTCCTGCATTTGCCTTCTCAGTGCTCCGGAAGAGTGACAGCCTACTGGTGAGGATGGGGAAGGCTCTCTGTACTGTAGTCAAATGAGTAATTGCTAGCCCTTATTTCGTGGTTTAAGAGTTGTACATAATTGGAATTTTACTACATGTTAAAACAAATAGTAGCTTATTAGCTTTGATTTCAGTTAGTCGTCTCTTTTGGATTTAGTTTCCAAAAATGCAGTGACATTTTTAGAATTATGTCAGTTTCTAGCGTTTTTATTTAAAAGGTCTTGACTGAAGATTTGGAGAGGACAATAGGGGAATCCTGAAGTTGGCATTGGGGAATTTGCTAGCCCAATAAAAATATGAACTAAATTGGTTGTTGGCAACTTTGCATATCCTACCTTCAGCCATGAAGTGTGTCTTCCCACTACCATAAGACAGCCTAGCACCAGATCTTCACATGTGGCGGAGTGCCTTTACTTGTCTGTCGAGGTATTTGCTAATTTTGTTGGAGTCCAGACCATCAAGCAAAAACAGGATATACTCATATAACCTTACTTAAAGGGAAAAGCATTACCATCCTGAGAGCAGATAACTATTTTTTTAAGTCTTGCCAAGGAAGAAAATAATAGCATCCACTCTATTCTTTGCCTTTTATACTGTTAACTTATTAAACATCTTGGGACTTAGGTGGCAAGTTGGGTATCCCATTGTACAGGAGGCCACATTCATAACTGATTTGGCATAAATTTATTTCACCTGTAAAATGACAGGATTGAACTAGGGCCTCTTCAAGATCTGAAGCTGTGTTCTGTGACATCATATCCAATAGTCTTCTCCCCAGAGGTGTATATAGGCCTATGTATGCAAGAGTTTTGCCACCATTCCACCCCACCCCAAGCCCAGAAGTATAACACAGTAGGTAAGGGAGCAGCCTATATACTCTGAGCACATGGTTATGATACCTAATCCTTATAAGGTAGCTGTCAGATTTAAGTGAGGCAAACTATGAGAAGTACTTAGCAACATAGTGCCTCATGGAATGTTAGCTTTTGCTCTGACAACTTTCTGAAGGCAACAAAGAAACATAATTTAGGACTAAAATGAGGAGCTTATTTTGGTTTCACTGTGGGTTACACTGTGCCCGCTGGATCTAAACTATTTCCCAGAGCAGCAGGCAAAATGTCTGTCTGCGTCCCCTCTGACTTCTAGAGAAAATATACCTGTCCGTTATCTTTATCTACAGTTTTTAGGCAGTAAATTAAAGGCCCTAATCTTTGTGCCCAGTCCTTTCCTACTAAATATGATGGTAATGAGGGTTTTTGATCAGAATGGCCAACCTCGGCCCTGCCTGTCCCTAACAGATTTCTATGTTTTATATTCCAGTGCAAGCATCTCTTGGCAATTTATCTTAGTCAGGTTACGAGGACCTGTCAGCAGCTAAATGTCTCTGACAAGCAATTGACTGACATATTACTGACAGAGAAGAAACAAGAAGCATAAAAGGTACAGATTGAGCATCATTATCTTTCAAAATAGAAGTCTTATCAAGAAATGCATTTAATATGTCATGGTTCACATGGAAGAGAGGTGAAATGGATCTTCCAAAGACTTATTACTGTCTCTTTTCCCTCCTGGACTGCAGGAGGGGCTGTGGATTGAAGCCATGGATTGTGGAAGGAGTGTGTATGGTTAGAAGACCTGTACAGTCATAAAAAACCTGAACCAGCCTCTGAGCCCCTTGGGTTAAAAAATGTCTCTGGATAGAATCAAGCATTTTAGATTCAAATAAAGCAGGTTTTCATGTGTCTACAATTATTTAGAGTCTTAAATATCTTATTATTAGTAATTTTTAAAAGGTTAGAATGGTGGGTCAAACCAAGGAAAATTAAGTTTAGATGAATAGGTATTAGTTCTTTTCCTTGGGCCAGAAACATTATTCAGCAGCAATAAAAGATCAGAGCAGAGATGTGGCTAAATAGCAGCAAATATGAAAAGAGGTGTTCTGGTCTTGGTAAACTTCAGATCATCTTTGGTGCTGGTGCCAACATAGCTTAAGTAGGCTGTATTGTTAAAGAGGTTGTATCTAGAACAAGGAAGAGCTGGTTTTGCTCTGCACCTATTTCTGATCTTTATAATAGGACAAATGAAAGGACCAACTAAAAATCATGTCCTAGAAGGAAACTACAGGTACTACTAGGGATTTTCAGTCTGAGGAAGAAAAGACAAAATAGATTCTCTAAGGAATATTAGAAGGGAGAGATAAGAGACTCAGGTGGATCCCAAGAGAGAGCAAAGGAGCAATAATAGATGAAGATAAAAATGAGATAGATTTCAGCATAGGACAAGAATTAAGTTCTCCATAGCCAGAAGAAGATCCTAGAGGGACAGGAATTTTCTGTCTCTGCAGCAGTTCTTAAAATTTGTTATATCCTTACAGTGATACTGCAGAAGGAATTGAAGGAGTGGACAATAAGATGAACTAGGTTACTTTGCTGCCTAAGAAATCCCTACTCTTAACCCGGGCTCAGTGGCTCAGCCTATAGTCCCAGCACTTTGGGAGGCTGAGCTGAGTGGATTGCCTGAGCCCGCGGGTTTGAGACCCGTCTGGGCAACTTGGCGAGACCTCATCTCTATAATAAATAAAAAAATCAGCCAGGCATGGTAGTGCATGCCTGTAACTCTGGCTACTCGGAAGGCTGAGGCAGAAGGATCGCCGGAGCCCAGCAGGTTGAGGCTGCAGTGGCTGGGAGCGGCCACTGCACTCCAGTCTGGGTGACAGAGTGAGACTCTAACTCAAAAAAAAAAAAAGGAAATCCGTACTCTTGTGCCCCTAAAATATGAGGTGCTAGTGAATGAATGCCGGATGAAAAACCCAGGGCCAGCTGGGTGCTGTGACTCAATTCTGTAATCCCAGCACTTTGGGAGGCCAAGGTGAGAGGATTGCCTGAGCCCAGAGATTCGAGACCAGCCTGCGCCACTTGGTGAGACCTTGTCTCTACAGTAAATCAAAAATTTAACTGAGTGTGGTGACGCACACATAGGGTTCCAGCTACTTGGATGGCTGAGGAGGAAGGATTGCCTGAGCTCAGCAGGTCAAGGCTATGGTGACCATAAGTGTGCCACTGCACTCTAGCTGACAGAGTAAGGCGACAGAGTAAGACTCCAACTCAAAAAAAAAAAAAAAACCAGGGCCACAGATAATGCAGTGATCTGTGGTTGGCAGAGCCTTTTGTTAACGTTGCAGTGTAACAAAAGCTATCAAGACTTTTCTGCTACTTGGGAAACTTGGACTGACTATAACTCATTTTTTTCCAAGCAGCCTTCAAGTAAAGTATAAAAGGTAGATGTAGCTCATTGTAACAAGCCAATGTAGCACCCTAAACTTGTCTTTTTATAAGTTTTATTCTTATTCCACCTAAGGTACACACACAGTGTTATAATTTTACTTAGTAAAATTTTCACACTTTGGGTTCTAAGAACTTGGACAAACTGGAACTTGGGAGAGAAGCAAAATTCACTACCTCACTCTAAAACGGGGAATTTGATAGAGTAGGAATTCTATTTCACTAGTTTCTCTTCCTCTAAGATAGTTTTCTATATATGGAAAAGAATGGAGCTTAAAACTGTTATGTATTGATAATTCTCTGTAAGAACATATGAGACATGATTTCCCTAAATTAATACAACAGTTTCTTGATTGAAGAATTATACTTTTAAATTTCCAGGTCACCTTCCTAGGAATAAGTACACATTTTCAGTACAGCCAACTTTTATTTTTCCATTGCCACCACATTTAAAAATATTTGTATTATAATAGTTCACAGTGTTTCACAGTAAAATTGTTTCAGTCATTTTCTACCATAAATGAAGCAGACTTTTAAAAACAAAACAAAAGTCTTTTAGAGTCCATTCAAGCTACCAGCATTAACCCACAATAAGAACAGCGACATAGACCATAAATATATTTGTCTACCCTTGGAGCCTATTAATGACACATACATATTAGCTAGATATGTGGTAACTCCAGTGAAGTGCTCAAAAGAGGCATATTCTTGTGAGCTATAGCTGTCTTTCACAATGAGAAGTAGCCAGTCATATCCTCTTTGTTTATTGTGAATTTGTGCCTTCTCAAAGAGGCCAAAGCCTAGGTCATAGGCCCACACTGAGAACAGGCTGTGTCCCAGCCTGCCCATTCCCACTCTTGATATCTGTCTGGCAAAGAACATACCTGGAGATGATTTTGTGAAAAGTATCGCGGAAGTCTCGGTTCCGGTACGCATAGACAATGGGATTGACAACTGAATTGGCATGTGACAGGAGAATGGCCATATTCATTGCCCACTTGGGCTTATTTTTAGCCCGAGCTGGCTGAAAAAGAGTGACACAATTGATGGCATGTACTGGTAGCCAACACAGAGCAAATATCCCCACAATCATGGCCAGCGAGTTGGCCGCGTGGATCTCCCGCTGGAGAATGGTCCTTGAGTGATCCATCAGCTCAGTGCGCTGAAGTTGCCTGCAGGCCACCATGAAGATCTTGATGTAGATCACCAGCATTATGAGCAGTGGGGGCAGAACACATCCAAAGAAATTGAAATATACCATGTAGCTCATGGGGACCACATTCTCAAAGAGACACTTCACACGGCAGCAGCTTTCATTCGTGGTTCCATCCCAGGGTTCCGTGCAGTTGTTGGTAGCACTGTCTTTACAGTTCCACCCCAGGAATGGAGTCAATCCGATGCCAAAGGCAAGGACCCAGAGGACAGCAATGACCCCTCTTGCTCGAGTCCCAGTGACCAAACTTTTATACCTGTTCAAAGAACATCATTTGTTATGGTCAGTTTACAGTACTCTGCAACCAATCCAAGACCCTACCAATGCTTTTGTGCCATGACCTAACAATTTCTAAAATTCACCCTCCAGGACACCATGGCTTTTACCCTCAGCATTAGAAACATAAGCAGATATTAACAGCTTTGTTCTAACAAGCTCAGTAAGATTTTTATTCTTTTTTTTTTTTGAGTTGGAGTCTCACTCTGTCGCCCAGACTGGAGTGCAGTGGCCGCTCCCGGCCACCGCAGCCTCGGCCTGCTGGGATCTAGCGATCCTTCCGCCTCAGCCTTCCATGTAGCTGGAACTACAGGCATGCATTACCACACCCGGCTAATTTGTTGATTTATTGTAGAGATGAGGTCTCACCAAGTTGCCCAGGCAGGTCTCAAACCCGTGGGCTCAGGCAATCCACTCACCTCAGCCTCCCAAGGCACGGGATTACAGGCTGAGCCACCAAGCCTGGCTAAGATTTTTATTCTTGACTTAGAAACTCATTTCTGTTTATTGACAAAGGATAATCAATGACATGAGGTAGAGAAGCCTTAAAGGAGTATATTAAGTCTTCACTTAATGTCATTGATGGGCTATTGGAAACTGACATGAAGTGAAATGATACACTGTGTTGTAGGAGTTTTTATATTATTATGATAAGATTGGTTTTGTTATACAGTATGTCATTTCATGAGTCCTCACATCATTAAGTGACAGCTTACCATACTTTCTAATTACCTAGGTACTGTCTTTTGAGTTTGGTTCTTCTGTAAGACATTGATTGTTCTAGGTCATTGAGATACACCAGTAAACAGAACACAAAGACCCCTGCTGAGTTTTTTATTTTGAGTCGGGATCTCACTATCATCCAGACTGGAGTACAGTGGCATGATCACAGCTCACCCACAGCCTTGACTTCCTGGGCTCAGGTGGTCCACCCACCTCAGCCTCCCAAGTAGCTGGGACAAAAGGCATGTGCCATCACATCCAGCTAATTTTTAAAATTTTTTGTAGAGATGGGGTCTCACTGTGTTGCCTAGGCTGGTCTCGAATTCCTAGGCTCAAGTGATCCCCCTACCTTGGCCTTCCAAATTGCTGGGACTACAGATGTGAGCCACCCCACCTGGCCTGTGCTAAATTTTAAAAGACTTAAATTCTAGAAGGAGAAAACATAATAAACAACAGATATAAGTAAATAGTACAGAGATATGTGTGGTATGAAAGAGCAGAGTAAGGAAGATGAGGACTGGCAGGACTGCAGTTTTAAAAAGGTTGGTTAAGAGAGGCTTCACTGATAAGGCAACATTTGAACAAAGGCCTGAGAATGTGGGCACTGGAGTCAGGCAGCAATATCTATGGCTCTGGGCAAGAATCTTTCCATTAGGGTAGCAGCTGGGTACATCTTTTCAGTCTCCCACAAATAACAAAAAGTTTGCCTCGGACTATGGACAGAATAATTTCTGAATACTTGTGCATACTGCTGGAGAACTAGCGTTCTGGCAGTGCCTCTTAATATCGACAAATAGTATAGCAGCAGAGTTGATTAAAAAATTAATAATTGCTATTTCCCAATTTTTGTCATTTTTTTAACCATTAAATCATATTAAAAATCACTGGAAACCATAGTAGATTTTTAGACATTTTGTTATAAACTAGTGTATACATGGTTTATAGCAAAGGTATAAGCTTAATAACTAATCCACAATATGTATGTAATATGTAAAAGAATGTACCTAATGTAAAGTATAAAATAAATGAAATACAATCTTTCTGTAATCTGGGATATCATTTGATTCATGTTACCTTAAGACTTCTATAGAAAGTGTCTGATTTCCTCTGCTTGCAGGATACGTCTTGTACTTTTCAGCTTGGCCCACAGAGCCCTCCAGGCCTCAGTCCCACATATCCAGTGCCTGCCATTCCTGACCAATGGCTCCCTTCTGGCTCATGCTATTCTCAACATTGGATAAAACACCTGTTCCTCTTTCAGGGGTTGCCTGTTTATCTGTTACATGTTGTTTTCCTCAACTAGAATGTCAATTTTTTTTTCTTTTCTTTTTTTTTTTTTTTTTTGGAGTTGGAGTCTCACTCTTGCCCAGGCTAGAGTGCAGTGGCACACTCACACCCACCGCAGCCTTGAACTGCTGGGCTCAGGGGAATCCTTCCAACTCAACCTTCCAAGTAGCTGGAACTACAGGCATACGCCATCATGCCCAGCTAATTTTTCTTGATTTATTGTAGAGACGAGGGCTCACCAAGTTTCCCAGGTTGGTACTGAACCCCTGGGCTCAGGCAATCCTCTGGCCTCAGCCTCCCAAAGCACTGGGATTATAGGCCTGAGCCACTGCACCAGGCCAGAATGTCAACTTCTTAAGAACTGGGACCTTGTCCATTTGTATTGGTATCCCTGGGACCTGGCACATAGTAGGTTCTTATATGACTACTGAGTATACACTCCTCATTTGTTATCTGATTTACTAAACAGCTTTAAACAAGCTTCTGCCTACTAAGAATACTTGATGCCGTGGCCTGGATAGGCAAAAAAACTGGTGGTTTGCTGATGAAGTTAACTGAGGTCTTGCTTTGTAATTTACAGTGATCGCTTATCTTTTCTGTTCCCTATTAGGGCACCTCTCAGCAATAGGCAGTTCAGTTGTGGGGCCTTACTACAGATGACTTACTTGTTCTTGGCCATTGAATCCGTCATTTCCAAACCCTTTCTGCTTCCCTTCTCATTCAGGAATGTAAAGCCTTCCTTAAAAAAATGTTATTCCAAGCTGGGCTCGGTGGCTCAGCCTGTAATCCCACGTCTTTGGGAGGCTGAGGTGAGTGGATTGCCTGAGACCATGGGTTCGAGACCCGCCTGGGCAGCGAGACCTCATCTCTACAATAAATAAAAAAATCAGCCGGGCGTGGTAGCACATGCCTGTAATTCCGGCTACTCGGAAGGCTGAGGCGGAAGGATCGCCAGAGCCCAGCAGGTCGAGGCTGCGGTGGCCGGGAGTGGCCACTGCACTCCAGTCTGGGCGACAGAGTGAGACTCCAACTCAAAACAAAACAAACAAAAATGTTATTCCGCCAGGCTCGGTGGCTCAGCCTGTAATCCCACGCTTTGGGAGGCTGAGGTGAGTGGATTGCCTGGGCCCGTGGGCTCGAGACCCGCCAGGGCAACTTGGCGAGACCTCATCTCTACAATAAATCAAAAAAAACAGCCGGGCATGATAGCACATGCCTGTAATTCCGGCTACTCGGAAGGCTGAGGCAAAAGGATCGCCGGAGCCCAGCAGGTGGAGGCTGCAGTGGCCGGGAGCAGCCACTGCACTCCAGTCTGGGCGACAGAGTGAGACTCCAGCTCAAAAAAATATATATATCCCTTGCCATTGCTTCACCGTAGATGTGAATAACACAGTTAGTCCCTACAGGCTAACCAGGAAGCCTCCTAAAGGCACAGCACTTAGAATCACAGGACAGCCTGCCCTTATTCCTTCTTTAGTGTTCACAAGACTCAACTATAAGTTGAGTACTGCTGATTACAGGCTAGTCCTAGGAAATGAAGTTATATTTAGGGTAAGCAAATCATGGCACTTCCATTCTCTTTTTGGTGATTGGTCTGGGTGGATATGTGAGGTGGTTCTGGCTAGTGAGATAAAAGGTTGTCTGCTAGGGAACCTCCAGGAAAGAGAAACCTATGTGGAGAGCTCTGCCCCATGCCCACCCTTTTCTGCTTTTGATGTCTGTGGGAGGCTGTGGTGCTGTGATGCCTAGAGCTACAGCAACCATCTTGTGACCATGAGAGACAAACCTGGAGACAAAGCCAATGGCAAAGCAGAAGGAAGAAAAGAGCTCATGTCCTTGATGACCTCTATGAACCACTAAACCAACCCTAGAACCATCGTGTTAAACATCTTGATTTGCTGACAGCCCTGTTAGGTATTCTGTTAACTGCAGCCAGAAGCATACAAACTGGATAGGATCTTTTCTAATCCAATCCCTCTTATTTCAGAATTGAGGAAACAGAGATACAAAGTCTTTGAAAAACAAAGCTAATGCACAAACCAAAGACCAGAAGCTAAGTTAGGACTCACTCCTTGCATTATGTCATGCTGCCTCTTATTTTACCTTTTCTTTTAAAGCAATATTAGGTTCAGAGTACACTGTACACCAGAGGGCTTGTTTGTGCAGGTGGCTTCCCACTAGAGTTCAGAACAACTGGAATCCACCCACATCTGAACTTCTCATAACTGCTGGGTCCCACACATTTGAAAACACACTTTTATGCCAAATTGTCTTGGATTAGGGAAAGCAGCTGATTCCATTAAGGTAGCAGCTGGTCACAGCTTTATCTATGAACCCCCATCACCGCCTCTCTTCTCTGTTGGTTCATTATTTCACTCAAAGAGTTCTTCCTGTATACCACGCATTCTTCTAGGCACTATGGAAACATAATCACTGCCTTCGTGGAACATATACTAATGGAAAATATAAAAATATCTAGTTATGAATAGGGATGGGTTCAACTATACCAAAATGAACAGGATGCAGTGATCAGAGAAAAACAGGGAAACCTTGGATATAGAATAGCAGGAAGGCCTCTCAGGTAGAAAGCTAAAGGTTGAAAAGGAATGAAAAATTTGAAAAGTAGAAGAACATTCCAAGCAGAGAGAACAGCATGTACTAAGGCTTTCAGACAGGAAAGAATGTTAGTTCCCTAAAGAAGCAAAAGGAAATGTGAAGGAGCCCAAAATGAGGCAGAGGCCAGTTCGCAGGCCACAAAGAGCCAGTGAGGGCCTTTAAGCCGAAGAATGGCACTGATTTATGCTGTTAATGTTCACCCAACCACAGTATGGAGACTGAATTTCAGGGGAGCAAGAAGAGAATAGAGAGATCAGATAGGAAACTATTTCGGTAATTGACTCAAGAAAATGTTGACTTGGGCCAGAGTAACAGCAAAGATGATACAAATGAACATGCACTTTGGAGGCAGAA